GGTTTTGGTTTTCTAGAGATCCTGGTTTTAGGGAATAATATAAGAATTTCATCTTTCTGGGATCTTTGTTGGAAACAATTTTCTCTATCCAAATCACTATTTGGATTCTTAATGCGAGCTACCATTCCGGAAAAAAGTCGAAATTACACCTGTATGAATAATTTTTGGAGCCACTGTATGTATATGCATATAGTAGTATATTGCAACATTTTGATATGATCGACTCGAAAACTAAAAGTAGACTTAAATATGTTCTCAGTAATATTTTTTTATTATATTCTATGCCTATATTACACAGCAAAAGTTTACTAACACTTTTCCTATTTCAGTGTAAACATGATATCAAAAATGGAAAAATTGCTACATGTGAAACTACTTTTTAATCCATAATCGACATTTGAAATAAAAATAGAATAATTTTCTGAAATCAAACGAAGTCAATGATACAAGATACAATCCATGTTGATTCACTATTACTTGAAATATCATATGAAAAATGTCATTCTACAAGCTGCGGTAGTCCACTTAAACTCTATGTGATAAAATTAACTATTTTAGCTCAGTTTTAGCTAATCTATTACATAAAAAAGGTTAGTCTATATTCTTTTCAAAAAACTTATTATCACAATTCCTGTGAGATTAAAATACAAAAAACACGATGTCATTAATCACAGAGAGATTATTTTATTCTATCTATCTTGAGATACATTTCTTCATTATCCTTTTGTGTTAATCCTCCAGAAATGTATCTCATAAGGAAGTAATATCTATTTCACAAAAGAAAGCCGGATGAGAATTTTTTAATAATTTCTGATACAAACAAGATAGAGAGCTGTGATTTTCATTTTTAGAAAGAGGAGATGAAGACGCATGAAATCATATATTACAAGTTTTTTTCAGGTTTTCAATCGACTTTTTTTTGAAATAAACTACATAAGTCTCAGATTTTTAGATTTGATTATTCAAGAGCCATAGACATTCTAATCGAAATTCTCGACCGATTTTTCAATCAACTGCTGTGAAAAAAATCACATTTTTGCTTTTTTCTCTTATGTTAAAAGAAACCATTTTTCCGACATTTTTCTTTAAAAAATTTAATTATAAAAAACATCAGAAAACATCTTAGGAGAGCCTATAATATATGATTCGATGCAATATCATCTTCTGTTTTCAATGGTTTAGTTCAGATATTACAATGAGATGTTATTAATATACGGTCTTTGAATGTAAAGTGATAGAAAAAGTTCACCAACAACGTATTTTTTTTACAGTTTTTGTGGTACTTTTAACTTTTTAAAGGAATATCGTAGAAAACACGATGACACCTCATTTTGTGCTCTTCAAAATGACATTGTTAAAAATTAGTCTTTCGGGGATCTGAAAACTACTGTATCTCGATTTTTAGAAGCCTTACCATATTGCGAATTTCTCGAGAGTGATAAGATGTAGACAGGTAAACAACTCTAAAAAATAGATCTACAGTAGAAATTCGATCGAAAAGGGATGAGTTGTGCAGAAGTTATTCGCAATAAAAGTGAATGAAATTTGAATGTTTAGAAAAAGATCGTTTTCCTTTCCTTACTGAAAAGGAGAGTCGTTCATAAGAAGATTTTTTCTTATCAAATTGTTTTCCGAAAAAGAATCTTTCACTTAAAAAAGTTACATTCACTTTTCTTCAACTTGTAGAAAGATTGAGAAAATTGAAACACAAGATCACTCTACACGAAAATGATCAAACGTTTGTCATACAATAATTAGGATGAATGGGCATGGAAATAGAGAAAGACATAATTCGACAGAACATTTCAATCTTTACAGAATGAATTATTTATTATCTTTTTTTTCCTTGCTTTTGATTTTTATAAAATTTCGTTTTCTAAACACATTTATCTATAAACTACAATTTTTTCACAATACACGGCTCATTACCCAGCAAGCATATGAGCTAAAGAATAACATTGAAAAGAAATCGTACCAAAAAATTGCAATACACTCACATATATATATATATGAAATAAATTTACCTGTACAGTTTCAGACCATTGTTCAGCTAATGAACAACCATTAATTCCATAAATAGGTAATGCAAATTTTTGTGTTTGAAATCCCGTTGACCAAATAATAATATCAACTGGATATTCATCTCCATCATAAGTAATAATTGAATGTGATTTAATTTGTTTAATACGATTTGTTATAAGTTTTACATTTGATTTTTGTAATGTTGAATACCAATCA